CTGCGGAAAAATTAAACATCCGAAAATTTCGAAATAAAAAACGAACATATAACTTCCTGAGACAATCTTGTAATGATTTCATTGTTTCTTCATCAGAGAAACCAAAATCCTGAGCAATAACAGTTTGTATATATTCCATAAAATTCTCCATTTGTAATTTTCGCATGGTTTCTGGAATGAGTCACAAAAGTTTGTCAAACTTGGTAAGCTATTTCAAAACTAAATTTTATGAATATTTCGTTGTGTTGCCATTTCCCAGTCTCAAATTCCAAATAATTAGCTTGAAGAACATTAGCAACAATACAAGTATAAATACGTATAAATACAAAAACACATTAATCATGTCCAGAAACACTTGATGAAGAATATACTCAATACAGATGCGCTAAGGACTTGGTCCAGGGTTTTTTTTTCTTTTCTTTTTTTTAGCTGATGCGATGTTAGTTGAAGAAAAAATAGGAAACAAGTTAAAATACTAATGACAATAACTGAACTTACTTTCATGCATTCTCATAATGTTATATGCCATTGCAATCAGTATAACATCTCCTTCCAGGAGAAAAACATCCCACAGTCGTAATGCTAACGGAAATGGGACTCGATCCAGGAAACACCCAAACCACCACTTTGTTACATAAATTGGCGGAATACCAGCTTTATCCTATAAAAAAAGGAAAAAAAAGGATCACAGAAATTTTGAGGGATGACGGGACTTGGACAAGGACAGAAGCAGTACTAAGTGAGGAGGAAATATTACATTTAATGATCGAACCTAATCATATGTCAGTGAGGATAAATAAACAAACTACCACAATGAAAGTATGAGTTCAGAGTGCTGTCGAAGAAATTAGTTAAGAAATATAACTTACTAAATGCTTTTTTAAACGTGGAAGATATTTTTGCAATATTTTTTCATAGTGTGCTTGGAAGCGAACCAATTTCGGAAAACCAGGAACAAAAAATCCTGCAATCTATTCATTAATTTAATTCATAGTTTTCAATTATTACTTTTTTTTTCCGTATTCCTCTAATCTACTCAATGGAGCTTCATTTGATCTCAGGAAATGAAATTTCGAAATTTAAATTTAACAAGAGAAGTTCAATTTTGCACAGTAGTCATGAAATAAGATCTTACCGTGCATGGAATGTTTTTTATCAACAAGTAATGCATGTAAACACCAAAATGCATCCTCTTCATCCATATACATCAGGAAAAGCGCTGCTATTTGGCTCATCCCTTGACAATAACCCACTTCTGTATTGTACATTGCATATGCGGCTAATACATTGAATAAAGATTGTTGCCTGAAATGATGAAAAACAAAGTTTCAAACTTTTTCAAAATATTTCTTGATGAATTCAGTAACCTAAAATTTAAAATAGAATTAAACCAATTTGAAAGTCCTTACTTCACGTCATATCTTCGACGAAATGCCAAGTGATCACGATATGTTCGGTTAATATCCAGATCTATCTGTTTGATATCTTTGGAAATGAGCCGCGCACGCATCAGTAATTCGCGGTAAACATTATTTTTTGTTCCTGCCGATAACGATTAATTTCAAGTAACCTTGTCCACACCTGCAAATTGGTGCGAGCAATTCAATGCACAAATAAGCGATAAAGTCAAAGAAATCTGTGCCTGAAAGATGAAACTACAGAAAACAAGCAGTGATAGAGCTGAAAAATACTGATCGTAACCTTCAAATAAAATTGTTTCTGCTTATCATGGCTTGGAGACAACAAATAAATCTAACAGAGAAAAAGACAAAATTCCAGAATTGTAATGAATGTCGCTGTTTATCTCTCCGCTAGCCACTATAGTGCTACCATTTTCATGCGAAAGTAATCATTCCTTAGAATCAAAAAATTGGAAAAATTTTTAGAAAGGAAATTTCATGCCTATGCTGCGTTTGATAATGCTGACATTCTACTAAAATTTTGGCATACAGCGGGAACTTATTTTTTTTTAATATCAAAAACTACAAAAGCTTCGTATATTCTACTTTTCAGCTTACAAGAATAAATTTTAGTGGTACTTTCCAAACATACAACCAAAATATTTCACAGTTTTACTCAAACGGTAAAATTTCTCCCGGAATACATAAGTTACGACAGACGGGTAACTACGATAATTCGACCTTTATAATCCGTAAAACAAGTTACATGGCCCAAAAGGAACAAAAAAATGAAAGAGCTTACCAATGACCTGAATTTTTCAGGAACACCTTTCCAAAGTCGTTTCTTCAACTTGTCATTAGCACCTTTGCCATCGCTCCATCGCGACATCATCCGCAGCCATTTCTGCTCACGTGAAACTTCTTTTGTCATTCGCTTCTTTTCCACTAACTCCCGCACACTAATTTCTTGCATATTCTTGCTAAAATATTTTGAAAACACGAGTTTTCATAATCAGATATGAGAGATTTCGTCAAGGGTTGTTGATATCATTGAATTAATTAGTAGTTATCTACTAAGACAAGGAAACTCTGGAATCAAATTAGAAAGTGCATACTGCATAAACCCGTATCGATCAGTAATTTTATATAATTCGAAATCAGGATTTTCCCATTCTTCCACCTCCTGTTCGGGTCCCTGAAAAAACTAATCGTTACCAATTCCTTTTTCACTATAATGTCAGTATATACCTTTTTCACTATCATGTCAATAGCTTGCATCAAATTATTACAATAACAACAACCGAAGGAAGTGGAATATACACAATATACACAGCATGGTAAGATGTATTCCCAAAGGATTTCCTAACCTCATACTGCCAGACTAGGATCAGAAGATTCCAAATTCCAACAGGTTCTAAATTCATGAATAACCTTACTTTAAAGTCACATACACGGTATTTCTAGTAAACACCTGGACATGTTGTACGAATAATCCATTCATTTTGCTTAGTAATATGTAAAAACCAAATAATCAAGATGGTTTGCTTTTAATATTCGTCCGATTATGACAAATCAACGTACCTTTTCATATTTCTCAACAATCTGCGAGCGTTCTTCCAATTCTCGAAATTCTGGATCATCTTCTGATTCTGCACTTGACGTCGCGTCTGTTTCATCATTTATGGCCCCTACAAAAAAAATCTAACACACCTTCAAACCACCGTTACCTTATTATCATTTGCAGCGAAAATTCTCAAGAAATATTTCTTTGTTAAATTAAAAAAAAGAAAAAACGAAACAAGAAAACTAGGGATTCCTTCAACTTATCACTTGGACTGTTTTGACAATCAAAATATCCGTGACATAAAAATATCGTCGTGCCAAATCACAAATTTATGGCAGACTTAATTTCACAACTTCACTATCACTAAGTGATAAATATAAATTTTACAAGCCACTATTGCATTTTACTATGTTTTCGGCATTCATTTTCTTTTTGGTGTCTAATTCAGATTTTCCCATACTCAATATAAAATTAATTTGACGAAATACGAAAAGCTCTCAACAAAAGTTTTCCAATAAACACCCCTGAAGAAAAATAAAGAGTGAGAAAAACGAATTAACAATAATCCAAACAAAATGAAAACTTAAAGTCTTTTAATTCTAACTACAAATTTCAACTTCACCATCATCATCTTTAAATTTTCTAGCGAAAATAAAAAATCAAGAAAAAAAAAGTAATGGAACTAATGGTTGAACTTTGATTTTACATTCTGATTCTGAAAGAGTCAAATAGAAGTTGAAATTTTCGAAATGATCAAAGCACCTGCAATATTCTTATCGTTATTATTACCAGTATGAATCGTTGTAATCACTTTTCCGAAGGTATGATATATACCTCCAAACGACCATGTAACCAGTATTACAGAAAATTTTAACCACGTAATGAAGATGATCGATTTTTATTCTAAACGATTCTCAGCAACCCCTTCGCCTGTACAACTAATCGATGAGTGATTGAATCAGTGCAAAATAAAACAGGAAATAAAAAGGGAATAGAATATTAGCAATTAAAGCAGAGATTTTTTTTTTTATAAAATTTCTTGCGTTGATTGAATATGTTTGCTAAAAAGAAAATCTATATCTATCTATCTATCTATCTATGTATATATATATATATATATATATATATATATATATATATATATATA